GCAGGTTGGTACGGTCCCCGGTTCTTTCTCCACAAGCAGCCGCCTCGCCGCGGACCGTGGCGTGCTTCCCCCGCGGAGCCGCGGGCAGGGCTGCTGCCCTTTCTGAGGGCGTCGTATTTTCCCGGGGGCTGCCTGGCCTCGGCTTTAACGGGCGGCATTAGGGCACCTGCCGGCGCGTTTGCTTTTAGTCGGTCTTCAGTACCCAAAGCCATTTAAAACAACTTGTAAAGTGCTTTCTTACACGCAGTGACTGGATGTTTTTTTCCCCGCAATCTTTTATGCAGGCTTATGCCAAATTTTCTGGTGCTCCCCTGACAGTGAATACTATAAATAACTCTTGGAGAGCTCCAAAAGGTAAAATGTTTGTGGTTTTTTTATTCTTTTAATCATAGCCATGTTATAAATGTGGGTTCCAATTTCTGAGTTTGCTTTGGTTTTGTGTTCATGAATGCGACCTGCCCCAGGGAAGGCTACCTATTTTCATGATACACCAATAAATGACTTTACAGGATGCAGTGTGATGAATTTGTGGAAATAAAGTAACGGAAGACATAAATAAAGTGTCTCAAAGGACACTTTATTAAATGTGTATGGGTGAAGCAGTGGACAGTCAACAAAGCAGTGGTGCCAAGTGCATACCTGTTTCTGTCAGGCAGTCTAAATTGATGCTGCAGTGCAAGCAAATTTTTAAGCTTTTTGCACTTTGCATATTTATAATGATAGTAACTAGATTTGTGTATGGAAATAGTGTTCTTTAATTATACGTAATTTAATGGGCTGGTACAGTTGGAAGTGGAATGTGAGCCTCAAAGAGTATAACTTGCACCAGCTGGGATATTTAATACTGTGTTGAGTTAGGTTGACTCAGAAAAGGTGACTAACAATCTAGTTCTAGAGAAGTTGAAGATAAGGTATCAGAGAGGACTTACTCGTGTTGGTTACTTCTACTCATTGCAGATCTGTTTGCTCAGAATTTAAGTTACTGTCTTGGTGTATTCCAAAGAGGTAAAATCACTGCCAGGTTAAAGTATTCTGTCATTTACACTTACCACGTCATCAGTTCAGGCATTTCTGTGTCCATGCAGAAGTTGCACTTTTGACTCTTGCTTTTCAGTGTATTGTTTTCTGTTAGCAGAAAATACTAAGAACTAGCTGGGTGTACTTGCCAAAAGTTCGGTGGCTTTCTTCATAGCCAAAATATATAAAATCCATTTAAAAAATAATAAATCCAAATAGTAAGTGTTGCTGATAATTTGTACTTTAATAGTATTCAGCAGCACAGCCATGTTAGGCTCATTGTGGCAGTTACCTTGTGAGCATAAGATAGCCCCTGTTACAGAGATTTAACGCTACAGTCTTTGATCCTGCAATCTGATAAGTAAAGGCTGAAGAGTAAGCTTCTGGTAGAAGGGAAGTGCTTGGTTCTGGAATAGTTCATGGTTATGCAGTGGTAGCTTAGGCAGTGGTTATAGCAAAGCGAGAGAAAAGGTGGTTAAAATGGATTTGGAGGGAGGAATTGGAGTAGAAAGGACAGGCCCAGAGGTGAATGAGTTGAGAGGACAGTTGGACTGGCTCGGAATCTTTGTCTTAAAATGAACATCTGAAATCCAGACAAGTATGAGATACTTAGCAGGACACATTGGCTTCAATCTCATTTGATGTGGGCCGTTCTTTATCTATTGTTTCTACTGAAGGCCAAAATATACTAAATGTATTTGTGACCTTGGTGGAACCCCCATGCTGTATAAAGCTTAGTTGTGTGTACATGTTAGGAAGATCAGAGCATGCTATAGAGAAAAGGAAAGTAGATGAAGTGACTGATTGCTGTCTAGTTATGTTAGAACTCATCCATATAAACTGTTGACTGTGTTATTTTTGCCTGCTAGGAGATGTACCGGTCCTGATATCAGAAGACACTGTTATTTCTCAGCCAGCAAAAATACTAAACTTCTTAAGAAAGCAGGTAGGTCTCTTTCAAAAGATTTTCTGAGATTCTGTTTTCTCTGTCTTACAGTGCCTCTGCATGTCCCCTGTATACATTGATACAGGCTTCCGAAAACCTGGAATTCAGTTCAGACCCAGTGCTTTCCTGTTTTTCATACATGCATGAGAATTGCAAAATGGTGGATAACAGATTGCTGCTTGAAAGTTTGATTGTTAGTTATGTGAAAGATTTAAAAATAGGCATGAGAAAACTGTTCATTGAAAAGGACAACAAACTGGCCTTAATTGGTCAGTTTCTCACTGAGCACCCTGCTCTTAATTATGTTGTTCGTCTCCCAGTGCTCTTTTTTGGAAGGGTAATACATACAGCGTTGTTTTTAGCCTATGGAGTTTTTCTGTATCTTGTAGTGTAAAAATGACTGCAAGCATTTCTTGATGTACATCATGTTATTGTGTAGTCAACTGCTGCTTGCCTTTTGCAGATCTCTTAATGTTTTATTCACAAAGAATAAAGCTATGTGATTTATTCTTTTCACAAAGTGTAAAGATGTCTAATAAAGCATGGCATCATCTTTTTACTTCTAATATGGTTCTCCAGCCCACTATTGTGCTTTTATGTGAGAAATTCAGTTCCTGCCCAGTCAGGAAGATTATCTGATGAGTGCCATGTTAGTGAAACTTTAAATCTTTGGGGGGATGAAAAACACAATCTGAAAACTGTACATTTGAGATGGGATTTTAGACAGTTGTTTTAAAATTCAGGAGTTTCATAGCTATTTAAATACCAAAGATTCCTTAATGTTGGGGGAAAAGAAGGTTCCTTAAGTATAACAGTAATATGCTTGCTTTTCAGATATCTAAGGGTCAGCACTGACCCTTTTTTCCTAAATTAATGAAGCAAATCTCTTCTCCCCCAAAAAAACTTATAAACCCTTTTAATGTACCTTAAAAGGATCCGGTGTCAGAATTAAAAGTTCAGTCAGCTGTAACTGCATTAATTTAGCTGTGCATCTGGTCCCTTATATTGTTAGCATCCAATTTCTAAACTTTTAGAATGGTAATTAAAAGCAAAAGATGGGAATGCTTGCCTTTTTTTTATGCTTATACCAGCTTAAGTGCCAGATGCTTCTTGAAAAATAAAGATGGGGACTTGCCAGAGGTTTGCTACATCCGTAAGTACTGAAAAAGTTCCTCTGTGTCACTGGACACTTGCTTGCAAAGCAATGGGAAGGAGACACAAGAGTTATTTTGGGAATAGGAGGACCCAAAAGAATGGGAAAGTGGAAAAGGGAGATGGAAGGAGGTTTGACAGAGCTGGCCTGGAGAAGTAAAGACATTCTAGTGAGCACATGCTTCTGTCCTGAAAAACGTTATGTTTACTAACTTGATAGCTGTTGAGTTTGAAACAACTTTCGGTTGCATTGATAAATCTTTTTGGAAAGTTCTGTGTAACACTATTTCTAGTATGGTTTGGGTTTTTTTTTAATTCATAGAAATATAATGCTGATTATGAATTGTCTGCAAAACAAGGAGCTGATACGCTGGCATATATTGCACTACTTGAAGAGAAACTGCTTCCTGCTCTGGTAAGTATTGAGAAATACTTTATATAATGGTCAGAATTTATGGAAGTGAATGCTACACGAGGTGCTTAACATGAGAGACATTAAAGTTTCTCAGCCATAGTTCTGACTGGAATGTATTTGCTTTGTTAGTCCAGTTTTGGAAATACTGCCTAGCAACTTTTGAAAGAAGTGTGTGTTTGTGGGGTGTGAAGTAATAATAATGAATTTATGAAAGACATTTTAAAAGGGCACCTGTGAATGTTTTTTCTTTTAGATATTTTTTGGGAAACAGTATCCTGAAAACAGCTTATTGTGGCCATGTTTTGTTTCACTTGATTCTTTTGAAAAAACTTTGAGTAAGATGTGGTATGTCTGATGTGGGCTGTACAACTGTGGAAGCTTTTGAACTGTTCGGTTAGAGCTTTTGACAAATTAGAATACCCATTAGTAGTTTAATTTTTCAGTTCTAAATAACACATGGCCACATGCCCTCTCCAATTTAGTTGAAGTACATTGGCACTCTAAAAATCCCCAGACATTGGATCTCTTGTATGACTTTGGCTTCAGTTTGTACAGAAAAAAGTATTGTGACCAGATGGTATCATAGATTAGCCTCTTCAGCTGACCCACAAAGTTTCAAATTCATCATTTCATAATATGTTTTAAGATTTATATAAAATTTTAAAAAAAATTAGAAAGTTCAAACCTGATCCTGTATGTCTGCAACTTTTTATGTAATATATTTTCTATGTACAGTGAGTGTGTATGAGTGTGTATATATACATACACATACATAAACATGAGTGTGTATTTAATTTTATGCACCTGTATATAGGTCTATGTAATATCTTTGTTGTTTGTCTTTAGGTGGGAGGTAGCTGTTGCCTTAACTATATACTCCTACACTCAAATGATTAGTATAATCCTTTATGGAGCCTGATTGCTTTAAGTTACAATGGTTCCTGGTGTGCTTCTGCTTCTCTGACAGAGATCTTACACACTGAACTTTTAAGAGATGCCTACTATTCTTACTCAAATTCCAGCCATGTTTTTTCTTATGTTGATACAGCTGCACACTTTCTGGGTTGAGGCTGAAAATTACTGCAGTGTGACAAAGCCATGGTTTGCCTCAAGGATTGCTTTCCCACTGAGTTTGTATATGCCTGGAAAGATGTCCAGGGAAGCGCTGAACAGGATCTTGCTGACCAGGGGAGGGCCTCCACTCTACAGTCTCACTGAAGTGGAAGCACAGGTATGTGTTGTGTAGTAAAGAATTTGTAAGTTGATGCTGTCCAAGACAAGAATTGAAACAGTCTAGCACGCTGTGAAATGATGAACGATGCTGTGCATACTAGCCTTGCTACACCTAGGGCTCTTAGTCTTGTGTCTCATCAGATATACAGGGATGCCAAGGAGTGCCTAAATCTCCTGTCGAAGAGATTGGGAACATCTCAGTTTTTCTTTGGAGATACGTGAGTGTGATTTTTTGGTTTTTTTGTGTTGTTTTTTTTTTTTTAATGACTAATAAACCGAATACACTTAAACTTTTTTTTTTTTTAACCTACCAGAATGTTAAAAGTGCTGCACAGTAGTTTCATGTCTCACACTCTGCTTTTCAGATAAATCTAAATGAGCAAACAGGGCACAAATGGGATCTTTGGAGGCAATGCGGTGTCTCCCTTATCCTGCATTTTTCCCACAGAGAGGCAGATGATGCCCACAGCCGCTAAGAAAATGCGGAGTGCTTGATGAGTTAGTGTGCACTAGAGAATGCTTTTCTAGCCAATGAATGTAACCTCCTGTGCTTGTATGCAGAAAAAATGCTTTAAGCCTGAGGTGTTACCACTGTCTTCATGGGAGGGGGGTGTAGGTCTGGGAGCGCTCGTCTTCCTGTGGTGTGTGTACAGAGCAGGAAGCAGACGTTGCCAACAACATAGCACCAGCAGGTCCTAAGGACGATCTGTTCCTTTAGCCACTGAAGTCGGACCACTTCATGAGAGAGGATCCTGGTCCCCTGGCATACAGCTTGGCTTTTGTGGTGCCAGAAATGGGTTTTAGAGTGGCTTGTTTATCAGTGTACGTGGCAGCATGACTAGATTTTAGTGCTGAAGTTACTGTTTCAGCTTGCCAGCATGCTTCTAGCTCATAGGTGCTGAAATCATCAGATAGTCTGTACAAAGCATTTACCAGATTGATATGAAAAGATGGAATGCCAGAAGAGCTGGCTATGTCCTGAACTGAGTTGTGTTAGACATCCACAGAAAACGGTTACGATGTAGAGGTCTTAATGGCTGAGCTCAGTCACTTCGGGATTTTGTTTTGGTTTGTCACTCTTTTCAGGCCCACCACCTTGGATGCCTTTGTGTTTGGTTTCCTTGCACCAATTTATAAAGTGTGCTTCCCCAGAGTACAATTACAAGAGCATTTGAGACAGCTTCCCAATCTATGTCGATTCTGTGATGATATCTTAAGTTGCTACTTCAGATTAACTGTCTCAGGTAAGCTGTGTTTCTTCTCCCCTTTTTGTCATGTATAGTCTTGTTTGGATTAGGACTCCAGGATTCCATCTGTGAACCATGGCAGAATTAGATTTTATGTCATTTATGCTAGAGCTTCTGTGAGGAAATGAGGTAGAGGAACTTCCAAAATTGTGCAGAAAGGATTAAAAATTAAAAGCAGTTTAATTAAAACTGAGTTTGACTCAGTTTTAGATTCTGTCAAGCATTGGCAAAATGCACGTGTATCTGTGCTATGGCTCATGCTTAGTACTTCTGTTTTTCTTGGAATGGCTTTTCCACTTAAGTTCTTCTTAGGTTAAAAATACTGCATGAACTTTCTCTCCAATGTGGGATTAGTTTTTAAGGATTTAAAAGCTTTTGTAAATACCTTTTCACTCTTCATCTTTCTACCTTCACTCTCCAGGCCATTCTCCGGCTGGACAGGATACAGCAGATGCTAATCTGCAGAAACTCACACAGCTTGTAAATAAGGAATCCAACTTGATTGAAAAGGTTATTTTTGCTTCAGTCTCTAATTTTGCTGCTTCGTTGTGGTTACTTGTTCACAGATATTCTTGCATCGCAACTGCAACTGTACAGTGGACATCTTATTTTAATTGATTCTTTTCTAGTGAGTTACTTTGTGTAGAGTGGCAGGAAGACTATTATGTCATTTGAAGGGAATAATTAATGAAGCCTTGTACTTAATAAGTATTTTTATTACAATCAAAAGAACATTGTCTTTCAAGTGCACATACCAACAAAAGAGAGGTGTCTTTCTGCAACTGTACATTTCAGCAAAGGAGGAAGCAAATGTTTTGATCAAAACTCATAACTGGTCCTGCAAGTTAAGACCGATCAGCAGCTCTCTTGCTCCCAGCTGAATACTGTAGTCACTAACCGAGTCACTCTTTCTCCAACTTGTTCTGCATCTAGCTTTTATTTCTTTATATTCTTTGTTTATAAGGCTGTCACTCAGCACCTATCAAAAGCTATACAACTTATGTCAGAAATACTTGTGAAGGATTACTCTTCTGATGCAGACAGAATACCATAACTAGAAGGATAGAAGGCGTTTTTTCCTGTGCATGAAATAGAGCACTAAGTGTGATCAGCTTCTGTAGCATTAGGTATTGATTGTATCTTGTCTTTGTGGTATTGAAGTGTGACTGTGGAAGTTCTTAAGAATGGGTTATGTAGACATTTATCAGGCATGATTTAGGTAAAGCTGAGCCTACCTTGAGGAAATGGGATGGACTAGACAACCTCTGGAGATCTCCCCTGTGCTGTCCTCTGTGATTCTCTTTATTCTGTAGTAACTAGACTCTTTTTGATACCACATTACACACAGGGCATTAGATTGATTTCCTATTGAAATGTAAAATCTTTATATTCAGAGATTAATTTTAACCTGTCTTTGAAAAGGTCTTATTAGAAGTTCTTTAGTAAATACTTTTCGAAATCTATAACTAATCTAAATTCACCCAGCGCCTCCAGAACATTTCTAATTTGAAAAAGATTTGTTCTTGTGATGTGCTGAACATGCAGAAGCATCCACTGATGTTAGCAGTTTGACTTTTGATCTGCCTTCTAGCAGCATTTGGCTGTTGTACAAAATTGAAACTTTGACCTCTTAGAAGAAGGTAGCGATGTTGCTTTCTTCAGTAATCATGATGAAATTATTTGAGCAGAAGCACACCTATTTGCCCTGAGTTTGATGCACCATGTGCTAGCGGAATGAATAGCAGCTCTAACACAAGCTTGTATTTGGAAGTGGAAAGGAACCAAGGCATCAGTTTTGGATGGGGCTGAAATAACAGGGTAAAAAATACCCCAAGCCAGCATTAATGATGGCCGCCCTGACATATAGACTAATCGTATAATCTATATTCTACTGTTTGCCAGATCCGGCTCTCATTATTTCTCTGCAGATGGACGACAATCTTCGTAAGAGTCCTCAGCATCCCCCTCGAAAGCTAACAACACTCAAGCTTGCTGCAGGTGGAGAAGGAAGCAGTCCATTGAATCGTTTGTCACCTTGACAGCTTTTGTTGCCCGTACACATGTGTTTGCCTTCAACTCTTCTGAGCACCACAGTAGATTTTTTCACATGAATGTGTTTTGCAAGGGGAGAATCTGCTAATGGGTACAAGTAGGGAAGAAATATAGCTTTACAATCTCCTATCTACCTGTTCTTTTAAGAAGTTGCATAATTCAGGCTGACCACATACTAAGCTGAGGCAAAAGTAAAGAAGAGGCTTATTCCCGCAGATGCTGAAGTGATTTTGTACAGCATATTTTTGCCTTTAGCCTACCAGAAGTGTTGACCAAAAGTTAAAATTCCACTTATGGAATGTTCACTGTTATTTTATTTTGTGGGTTTTGATTTTACTGAAATCATGTTACTATATGTGAGTGGGTATACTTTTGTATCTGACTGACAATTACATAGTTTAGTTGAAAAATCAGTGAAAAGACTGAAAAAATGAAATGTTGCCCTTGATGGCAGCTGAGAAGTGAAAAGCAATGAGAAGTTAAATATTGTTTTATTGTACTTTCATGAACACTTGCAGATCTTGTGTTTTAAGGTTGTTTGTATTTCTGAAAGCTTGACATGTTGTACTTTGAGGAGGATTGTTGAAAAGTGTATATACTGTGGGGTGTACAATGATGTACAATGCTGACATTTCACAGGTACTTGGTATTAGTCCTGTGTGAAACAGGCTTTACCTGTGCACAGGGTAATAATACCACATACTGCAAAACTGTTAAGTCAAAATCACAGGGGACTGGTAGTGAGATGGAGAGGTTTGATTAGCCTCTGTCAGGACAAGAGACTGACTAGCAAACATACTGCCTCTCTGGATTGAAGGGAACTGGTTAGGGATTTATAAGAAAGCTTACGTAGGCTTTCAAATTTGTCACAGATGCCTTTGAATTAGTTTTGTCTTTTTTTATAAGCACTATAGTGCATTCAAAAATTACAATAGATAAACATCCAAATTTTTGTTGTTTGACAGTCTAGTTCAGAATTCTTTTATCTCTGCAAAGTTTAATACATTGCAGTGCATACTTCTGTTTAATTAAGGGGCTTGGGTCTCATTACGTTTTCTCTTAGCAGCAGCTTTGCCAGTTCTAGAGGCCCAAGTGATTCTATTACAAGAGAGATGCTGTAATTCTCTACTGGCAACTTACTGGCAGATGCTTCATGAGTGGGTGTAAAGAGAATTAGTCAAGGAGATTGGCCAAAATGGCAGCACTTGGGATACAGAATTCCAATAGCTGCATGTATGGGGATGTCTGTTCTGTTTTTTTCCTTTTTCTGGCCAAATCAAAATAGTCTTGCACCTTCTTTTCCACTACTAGTCACGTTTCAGATACAGAGATAAATTATTTCCTATTTATAAAGACAAGACTGTAGATCGTGTACATACCGTGCTTTCAGACTCTATATGTCAGGAATGTAATATCTTTAACATTTCTTAATTATAATTGAAATGTTGGGCTTCTAATGAGCACTTTAAAATAATGTTTAAGTTTAATGCTCTTACTAGAGTATTTGTTTCAGTGATTTGAAATTAATCTAGCTCATTCTCATGATAATTCTATAAACCGACAGTCCACTACATGTAAAAGTAAGTCAAATGTTTAAAATTTTTACTGCCTGTATCTTGACAACGTTTAAATGAGATCAAGTCACATGGCTTTAATTTATAAATATGGCTATGGAGAATATGCCTTAGTTGGTTGCTTTTGTGAATTATCGTTAAAATCTCTTTGTAAAAAGGTCATTGTTCCAAGATTAAAATTTTGGATTTTTAGTGGAGTTTTGGTAGTGCTTTTTATGGAAATTATGTCAGGTTTTTTGAACATTTTTCTTTTTCATTGTGAAAAGGTTTATCTTGTCCATAAGAAAAAAAAAAAAAAAAAGAAAAACTGCTGACTGCTAGAACAAGAAATTGGAACAATTTAGTGTATGTATGAGGTCAGATTCTAAATTTTAATCACAGTCCTTTCTTTCAACACAACTGCTTTTGGAAAGGGGGAATGGGGAAGCACTGGTTTTCTAATCTTACTAAGTGTGAGCCTTGGGCTGTGTGACAGCAAAATTTTGACAAACCAATGCTGGAGTAACTTCATTCACTGGATGGCAGAGGACAGCGGGGCCAGAGATCACAGCAAATATTGCCTGCAGTAAAATGCACACCATCCCAGACAACCAGTGAGGTTGCACAGCTGTGCACTTCCTTTTTTTTCCTTTTTATTGAAGGTGAATTGAAAGCCAAACTCCTTTATATGGAAAGCATCATCTCTGGCCTGACAACTTAGACTTGCCCGTTAGTTAACCGGCATATTTTGTGTGCCTGAGTTTTGAAGCTGGGCAGTTAATGATGTCCAGGATGGGGGCAGCTCGAGTAACTGTAGCTGTCTGCACCTCAAGTAGTCAAAGCTCCTTCTCTGGCTAGTGGAGAAAGATGGGATCTAGGTGCGATTCATCTTAAAGTAGATGCCTGAAAGTGCAAAGTGAATTGAGTCCTGAAAATGCACGTCTGCTGAATGTAAAGGAAGCCGTAGCTACCTGCCTCAGCCATCGAGTGAAAACCGGCCATGGTGACTGCCCTTTCCTCCACCACCTGAGGTTGCAGGTGGTCCACAAACAGGGTCAGCCCTTCTAGCCAAGCAGCAAGCGTTGGGCCATGAAACCGTTGTACGCAACCTGCTTCCCATGCAGAGCAGCTGGCTGCTGTACGTGCTGCAGCTCTGCAGCCTCAAAATACTGGGCTTTTCGTGCACACGCCTACAATGCGTAAGTGCAGGATGTACCCCTGGGTTTCCCTTGTCTTGCTGCTGCCAGGGCAGCTGGTGGGCCTGCTCCCAGCCCTCCCCCTGGAAGGTGGTGGCTGGGAACAGGTTATTACCAAATAATAATAAGCAACTCATCCAGCCTGACAAGCTTTTCCTTGAGGAGGAGGCTGCCAATTGTAAGTGAGGTGAAGGGTTGCAAATTTAACACCTCTGCTCCCAGGCAATCTTGCAGTGAAAGTGTATGTGTAGATGTCGTTAGGGCAGTTCTGTGTCTTTCTGTCAGCTGGTTGGAGGAACATGTATATCTCTGAAGAAATAAGATGAAAAATGTTATGAATGAATTGCTACAAATATGGTCTATTTAACATTTCCAGGGTAGCTTTAAAAATGTCTTTCCCCCCCCCCCCCGAAAATATTGTTACATTAGGTTTTTATATACACTTACACACTGGTGAAGTCACATCACTTTTGCTAATGTAGCTTAGCACTCCATTAAGAAAAACACCCAGTTGTATTTGATTCCTGGTTAAAACAATTTCCAGACTCACTTGAGTAGGTTTTCTTTCTTCCTTGGTATTATTCTTGGCATTGCAGTAAGAACATTCGTAGTATTGGGGTTTTTGTTTTTGTTCTTTTGTTTTTTTTTTAATACAGAAGGCAGACCAGCTTTTTATGTTAGCCTGACAAACTACACTGCAGCACAGATGTGGCTGGTCTGTGCTGTTGGCAACAAGTTATCCAATCCCTAACATACTTCAAGACCGTGTTGACTAGTAAGACCCTGAATAAAAAATGTGCTGTTTCACAGTACAAATGCCCAGTTTCACAAATCATTTTAGTCCATAGTTAGTGGTTAGTCTGATTCAGCAAAATGCTCCATAATCCCACTTGGTGCTAACTGATGCCAGTGAGGTGATGGATTTTGGTGCACTTGCTGGAGCCCTGATGCAGGATCAGGCCGTTCAGCGTAGCGAGTGTTATTAAAGAGCTGCACAGGGGGTTGAGCTGGTGAAATACCAAAGCAGAGAGCCCAGAGCTTTCCACTCGGCATCCGGCCCCTGTCCTCATTCAGCCCTAACTGTGCCAGTGGAAAAGCCACTCCTCCACCCGGCTGGTTGTGGCATTTTAGCCATGGCGGATGCTCTGGCCTGTGTTGTCAGGATGGGCCAGGTGTGTGCCTGCTGGGCAGCAGCTTTAAGCAGCTTCAACTCATTAAGCATTTTGCCCTCGAAGCAGGTGAGGGAGCACCCACGGGGCAGCTTTGCCTGCAGAGCTTGGGAGTGCTAGTCAGCTGCTGGGGAAGGTGAGGAGTGGCTGAGCACAGGCGGGCTTCTGGGCGAGAAGCTATTCCCCGAGCCAGCTGCTTGCCATGTCATGTCTGCCGTACAGGCCTCTCTGCAGCACTGCCGTTCTGCAGCTATGTGAGACCTAGTGTCCTGGGTTTCAGCGGGGATAGGGTTAATTGTCACAAGAAACTGGGAGGGGTCACAGCCAGGACAGCTGACCTAAACTAGCTCAAGGGATATTCCATACCATATGATGTCATGGTCAGGATATAAGGGGGGGAGCTGGCCAGGGAGGGATTGCTGCTCAGGGACAGGCTGGGCATTGGGTTCCAAGCAGTGTGCAAATTGCATTGTGTATTTCTATGTGCTTTTTATTAGCACTGTTGTTGTTATTTCCCTCTCCCTTTGCTGTCCCAGTAAACGGTCCTTATCCCAACCTACAAGTTTTACCTTTTTCTTCAGCTTCTCCTCCCCATCCCATGGAGGAAGGGAAGGAGTGAGCCAGTGCCTATGTGGTGCTCAGCTGCCAGCTGGGGTTAAACCACAACACCCAGCCATGCAGGGATGATGATGACATGGGGCTTGATGCTCTTGTGGTACCTGGTGTCCTGTCTGGGCAGTGGAACAGCAGCCAAGCCCCACTGTACTGGTCTCCTTGCACTAAGAGACCTGCCAAGCAATGGGGGGGCCAGGGCAGCCTGTTCTGGAGCAGAGCTCTGTATCAGAGGCAGCTGCAGGGGAGGAAGGGGAGGTTTTGCACCACCTCTGAGATGTGTTAAAGCAAAGAAGGGAAGAAAGAGGTCCACTGTTCCCTGTACCACACTGGTTTGCTGTTTCTGCCTGGAGCAAAGCTCCAAGGAACAGATCCCAAGTCTTGAGTGAAATCAGAGCAGGTTGGAATGAGAAGCT